GAGTCTACTCCCTATTTCTCCTTTATTGGATCTGTCTATGTGGATATGAGACACAACAGTGTGTGTTTGTGTGTGTGTGTGTGTGTGTGTGTGTGTGTGTGTGTGTGTGTGTGTGTGTGTGTGTGTCCCAACTGCACTCCTGTGACCACTGAGGCTTTAGTATTGAGTATTTTCAGGGCACAGCAGTGATATTGAAGCACAGGTCCTATTCTCTGCTCTACTGCTCTCCTGTCCTGTCCTCACCAAAAGATACAGCTGATTTAGCCACAAGTGCTGTGAAGCCTTTAAATAACGCTACTATTTGAACAGCAGTGTTTCTGTGTTTCTGCAATATATAGTTGACGGGGAGATTCATCTTATTCCCAATCACCAAAACAACCATGAGTTCATGTTTTTCAGATGCGTTACTACATAAACTGAGCTTAATACAAAAGCATGTTTTCATTAAATAAACAGAAAGAACAGAATACTACAGACCGAACCGGTAAGATGGTCCAGAATGCATTTGCGTTAGGGCTGCCATTATAAAATAGTATTTTTATGTATAGGACACTTTGAACTGCGAACAAGGTCAATTATTCCATAACATGGTTTGGTAGAGTCTAGGGAAGCTATTTTTATATGCATGACGCCATCTTATTGTAAATTCTATGGGAGACACTGATTGTGCATTTATGACATATGGGATGGATGGCAGAGAGAAGGGGAAGATTTACATGTTTACAACCAGCAAGTATTCTTGACACCAACTCAATACGTATGATTCAAATGTAGCATCATGAGCAGAGTCACCAAATGCTCCATGCTCACAAACAGTCTCAACAACACACAGTACAGTAGCATGACAGCAGTCTTCGACACACTTCTCCCCCGACTATCAGACTGAAAATCAGCATGAAAATAAATAAAAGTTGTCCAAAATGTAACCTAATTTCCACTAATACTTCCAATGAAGACCTCTAACATTTCCCTTTTTACGGTAAGGTATCTAACCTTAGCATCAAACACAATATACTCATGTACACATTTGTAAAAGAACATCTTGATAACATCCCAAAAACACTTAAAACACATTGAAAACATGATGGTGGAAATGCTTACAGCATCCTTCAAAACAAAAGTCTGTGCTTTGATCCATATAGAACTATGTACATTGCTCTGTTCATAATATAGTGCAACAACATCACACTACCACAAACGGTTGGCCATGTAAGAGTTGAAATACTGTGCACTGACACACTAAGTCAATTATATTTGGGTTTAATTACCTTGAAAAACTGACTTTCAAGCACTTTCGTATTACGGCTTGGACACACTGCATGCATGAGCAGTGCATGATGGCTGCCTCGCTGCACGGCTGTGGTGTCCACACAGAGAGCGCTTCTGCCGCAGCTCTGCTTCTCCCATCCTTATATTTCTAAATTGAGTTTGCTTTTGATAAATACAATACAATGAATGGATTATGTTCACAGCAAGGCTTGAGAGCTTTTAATCTGGAAGTGTTGAGTTATGCCTGTGACGTATTCTACAGATATAGACATACAATCTGTAGTACAATGTGTACATTATGCTGGTATAATGTCGATATGACTATGAACAGATCATTCTCATTGTCTGTTTTTGCTGGAAACCACTCATGGAAAAAATAAGCAAGACCTTGATTCTTAAGTGAAGAGACGTGGCACACATGCAGGCAGTGTGGCTGCTCTAACCTGTTAATATGGGCGCAGAAATGAAAAGAGCAAAACGTTCCACGGCTTATACGCAAGTGTGTCCGGGCCATCATAAATCAGAACTTTCTGATTTATAACTAGGGAAGGGACGATATACAATATTATCACGTATTGTGATAAAAAAACACTCTGGAACTGGTGATTTTCCATTATTGTGATAATCATGAATCAGGATAATCGTGAATATCCTCAATTGCCTTGACGGTTTTAACCTGAACTTGCCTAAAGCCCTGTCAGTCTCTATCTCAGCTTCATAAGGAAAATGAACACAGATCAGAAATCAGTGAGGCTGCTACCTGTTGGATTAACACAGCAACAGACATTTGAAGAAGTCATGATACCTGATTGTTAATGGGAATTATTGGGTGGGCTGTCAAAATCAGTGCCCAGGTCAACCCCACATTACTCATACACTAGGAGACACGATAGAGTAAACAAAAATGTTAATATCTAGAATTTAGTGTTGTTTTGGATGATTTCAGTTTTCTTTGTTCATGCACTGTCCGTGGTATAGAATAACCAGGGAAATGTCTTGCCTTTGAGAATGAGCAGATGCATCTCAAGAGGATTTTACTGCGAACAATAAAATGTGTCCATATATAGATTTTAGGCTTACAGCATGTTTGGTCAGCCTGTTGAACTCTACATCTATTCTACCTTTATGAGAAAACTGTGCCGAATCTCAGTGTATGCATGTGGCAACTACTCAGTATTAATTGCCACTATTATGCCACTAGGCAGCCATAAGAAGAAAAGCTTGTCCCTGGCGTATTGTTTGTCTGTTGTCCAGCCTGCAGCCTGTTGTGTCTGCCACCCTTACAACAATCACATCGACTGAGAAATCGATACAATCCTCCAGAGAGAAAATATAAGACTGAAGTCCTGCCATCTCTCCGTCTTTACTTGTGCAGACCAGGCTGTAGGTGATAGTGACAAGGTAACGTCATCCTCTCTGGAGGGTATGAGGGGTGAATAATGCCAGGGAGGAAGAAGAAGGGGGGAGAGCAGATTATTTGAGCTGCTCAGCCTATCAAAATGGACTACATGCAGTATGTACCAATTTGCCCTGATTATAAGACAGTTACCCCCTTTTCCAAACGGCTTCAACTTGTTTGAACCCATATCTCATTTAAACTTGGAATACTTGTTCCATCAGGAATTCCCTTAGATTAAACAAGTCTAAATGAACACTTATTATAGATCCACTATTAAAGAAACTTGCTTGTAGCAACATTAATAGAGCTGCGTATCGTTTAAACCTTTTTGAAAGTAACGATACTTTGATTTTAATGCTGGTTTCTGAACAGTCCAACAATTTGAACAAGAAAAAGAAAATGCATAACACATTATGGTATATATATATATATATATATATATATATATATATATATATATATAAACATAATTATGATTCTGATCTACAACTGGACTATACAAAAAAATACAAATAACTGTAACAAAAGAATCTTTCAGACGTTGTAGAGGGCTCTGTTTTAAAGCTAGAGTGAAAATACTGGTATCATATAAAACTAGATGACCTAATGCATCCATTGTTACCTATTTAACTACAGTATATCATGGTAGCATGTCAGAAAGGGGGCTTAATAATGCTAAATTAAGCAAACTTTTGGTGATGGAAAAACTGGTGTTGTTTTTCAAAGGGGCACCTTGACTACAATATAAGACATCTGAATGAAAATGCATTGTTGTTTGGAAAGACTGGAAAGCTGAGACAGATACTTCATGCCACCCCTGCATAAGTCGGTGCCCCTCTTGTGCCACCCCAGTCATAAAAGTCTGGGAATGCCCCAGTGCAGTAGGCCAACAAGATCACCAGAATGGAAGCAATTTGGTCTGTAAAATAAAAGTAACAAGACTCAGCCCTAAACGTTAAAGTTACAAATAACTCACCATAGAACACCTAGGAGCCTGTGCGTGTGACCAGTACACTCTCCAATAAAAAAGCATATTTGCTGTTTTAACAGTTCTAGAAAACAAATATATGGGCCAATATGACACCTAATGGAGATCATTCTGATAAGTGAGAGATATGAAAGGTCTGATAAAAGTAGCTGCTGTATTTTCGAGTACATAGGCTGGGTGTCCATTCTGACAGTACTTGTGAAGTGTCTGTATGGGTCTGTATTTAGGATACGATGATGAGTACAAATGCTTCCATTAATGATTTTGAAATTTTATTGACTATGTTTACTCAACTGTCTAATAAACACAGCCTCAAAATTAGAGAGGAGGCATTGGTCACCCATCACAGCTATGTACAAAGTGAAATTTCAGTATCTGCATCATTGACATTTTTAAAAGAATGCCTCAGGCACAGCTTACAAAGCTAATCCTATTTTACTGTTATTGTTACATGCTACTTCTAAAAATCTAATTTAAGCTTGAATTCCTTTCCCGGCGTGTTTTAGCAGAGGGAAGCAGAGGATGCCAATGGAAAATATTGCAGTACTTCTCTGACAAAGTGTTTTTATGTTCAGCCTAAACCTGGTTTCCAAACTAGCAAAACATATTCATATCAGAAGCAAGACATCAGCCATTCAGTTTCTGAATCCTGATTTATTTTTAAAGAGCAACTGCTAGATGGCAGCCAAGGCAGGCTTTTTAAGTCCATGTGTATACTCTAAAGTGACAGCGAGAGAGGCAGTCTCTGCTCCGTTCCTCCTGAGCAGCACGCTGTTGTCTGGGCATTAAAATTACATGTTGTCATATTTAGAAAAGTGTTTTGCACTCATATTTGAATTGAACCAGTTGAACCTGTGCAGTTGCTCGCACAGGCAGGACCTACTCATGTGTGAATATGTGCTCTCCCATTCTGGAAATTTTTGCTTTTGACACACCCAATTTTTAAATAATAAATCAGCCAGCAAAAGTGACTACAGAACTTCAAGGTGCTTGATCTTTGTTTTGCTGTGGCATTAATTGCCCCTCATACATTCTGGCAACAGAGCCAGGTAACATCCAAAGGACTGCACTACAACAAAGACACAGATACTAATCATTTAGTCTGACTCACTGAACCCAGTCAAACACGTAACCCAATGTAGCAGTGGGATAACTGATATTATAGGCTACACTGGATAACCAACCTGCCATTCACACAGCTTACAGGGACCACTGGTTCAAACAACCTAATGTCAGTTTTGGACTTTGCTGAACACAACAGGGATACACATACAGTAACAGCATTACAGGTAAGATTTGAACTGTAAATTCTAGGAGCTAATGGCACATAAATAGCCAACTTACTTAAATCTTCCCTGGCAGTGCTGGCACTGATCTCCGACCCATCCGTGGTCACACACGCAGGTCCCGTTGATGCACTTCCCTGAAAAACAGTTTTTATCGCAGGACTTGGATACAGAGGAGGCTTCAGCGTGGAGCACGAGATGAAGCATCACAAATACTCCCAGGTATGTTTTCAAAACGTCCCGGGCGCTCCTTTTGGACGACTTCATCCAGGTGCATAGATGGAACCCCCCCACATCATCCATGATGGACGCGGAGTGTGTTTTTGAGAGGCTTCAACCCCGAACCAGAAAACGAACTGTCACGTTACGCTGCGAGGTGATCCGTTGACATCAGCAGCGGTGTCGGTAGGCTCAGGTAGCCTACCTGTGACGCCTGTGGAAAGGGCGCAGGAAAACAGCAATTACGCACTGTCAGAACATGCCGAGTGGTGTGGAAAAAGCAGCGGGACAGGACAAAGGCGTGAAACTTTGATGGAAACACTTAAATCTTTAAAAAGACTGTAAACGCAACTCCAATCCGACCCATCCGTTCCGAGCTACACAAACAGAGAAAACCACGCTCTGCTGCGCGTCCGCACAAGTCCTCCAGATAACTTCCACCGTGGTCAAGGTTCCGATGTAAACACACGACCGTGGCCGGATGATACTGCCTCAACGTCAAACACTGTAATCCCGGAGATGAAACAGCCCCACAGAGCTCAGGTGATCGGCGTGAGCTGCTCTCCTGCTGGATGTGCTCCAAGACAAAGACGTGCCCTCTGCCCGGGTTTGTTATCAGAAGATGCGACAGACTCAGCTCTCCCGGAGCGCCGCTTCTCTCTGCTCCGTCCGCTATCGCTCTCCGGTCCACAGCTGGTCTCTGGCAGGGAAACTCCTGCACAAAGCCCCGAGCATGAGCAGTACGGCCACACGATTAAAGGGCCAGTTCCATTTAAACGTCAAAGGCGTGCAGCAGGCACGGACACTGTGCAGAGACAAAGACAGTGACATTCGTCTGCAGCATGGTCTCTGTGCGTTTTCCTATTGGCAGTGTACACTGAAGCATTTAGCAGATGTTCAAGACTCAACATGGAAGAAGAAAGTACGAATTAAAGGAGGATTTATAATGATCAGACTATATATTTTATTATTGTGCAGTCAATAGAAAAAGGAGTGCAACAGGAGCTTGATCTGATTAGACATTAGATAGATAGATAGATAGATAGATAGATAGATAGATAGATAGATAGATAGATCACCTGAAAATAAGAATCTTTGTGTTTTTGTTCCCTCCTCTTCTACAGTAGCTGTATTCATATGGCTACAGTCTGCAACTTCACCACTAGATGTCACTAAATCATACACATTGGTCCTTTAAAACCAAAATTATTTACCATTAATATACAATTAGCTTATTCGTTGATATTGATATTGATATTGTTGCCCAATACCAACACCAAATCCCCACATTCCCCCAAGAATGTGGTAAATACAACAGTAATGCCAAAAATCAAATTTTGTTACCCAGTCAACAGAAATATGTTGATCACACAAAGTCTCTCTCATGTACACACACGTACAGAGTTGTTATGAGAAACAGTAACCACAGGGAATAATACCTAAATGCTAAATGTTCATTTCTACTGGAAAATTAACTGAGACAATTTAGAGATGCCATAAAAGTATCCTCACTAAATCCATTAGAGCGAGGTCTGGTACAGTATACTGCTCAAATATTATCTATCATCAGCAGCCAGAAATAGTAAAAGATCATAATGCCTGCAGTGACTCTTGGTATCCAGTGTGTTCATCTATTGCAGAGATCAATCAGTGAACATGGACAATAATTACTTGAGCTGGGAAAGAATGTATTTAAATCATACACAAACCTCTTTGCCTGGATGCATTTGAGCTGATTCAGAGACAGATATGACAGGAACATTAAAACCAGACTGACACAGCAGAGGCCTAATTCCCCAAACTGTCTTCTTGATTTATAACTTTATCTCACTCTGAAGGCTTTAAAGACACAAAGATATTCTTTGGAGCCGAGCGGTACTTTTTGGAAAACAAAGCCAAGATTTGCATCTGTGCTCCCGGAGGGCTCACAAAAACATCCAGCGAGCCAGAAAGACAATAATCCTAAAACCGAAAGATAGACTCCTCTCAGGCAAGATATTGCCCTGCTGCAGTGTGATGAAGGGAATCACAAGGCCCTGACTTGAGATATTGATTGCAACAGTTACATATCTGATACCCGCTGTATCACAAGGTGAGTATGAACACTGTTTCATCATTGAGCCAACACAGTTTTATGACTTTGTTGGTGCTCCAAATCCCCAAATTTCCTCCCAGATCACTGTTGATGTTCCTGAAACTCAACACAGCTGTGTTTAGCTGAGTTTCGAAATATCAGCAGCTGGGGGGAGGAAATTTAAGGCTTTAGCTTGTGGATTATGCTAATGCTATTGGGTGCTACGACAAAATCAAAAGTGCACTTATTGATTAAATTATTTTTGGTTACATGTAGGCTACGGTTTTGGAAAATATTTAATTTACTTAATGCTCCAATAATCAATTTCTTGCATATCAACAATTAATGAAAAGCCTATGCGTAATGCGAATGGGGTCACTCACAGTGCTGAACCAATATAGAATTACCACCAACTCTGCAGCTTTTCTCACTCACAGTTTTGTTTTTTACGTCACATTTACTGTCCGATTCAGACTCAGTGCTCTCTTCAACCTTGTTTCCAGCAGCAGCAGGCAGCTGCTTTCAGTTAAATAAGCTCTGATAAACCCACCCTGCATAACCTGCAACTAGCTGGTGGAATATCCTGCAGCTAAAGTGCCAGATATTTTTCTGAATAGGTTGTGGAGACCAAACTGGAGCCAAACGGAGAGTGAACATTGGATTTAGATTAATGTCAAACACAGGACTTAAAATCGGATGGTAATCCTGCTCTATGTCTGCTGGATTTGTATAGATAATTGTTTGCTAACATAGCCATATTAACTATATAAGTAGTCAGGACTGTGTGCCTATTAAACATAAAGCTTTTGCAGCACATGAGCAGCACATGGCCATCATCAATCCATAAGTCCCCAATATAAAAACAGTGATTACATGAGGCATAAGTGGGTCCAGATGTACAATTTCTGGTTCCTATAATGAACAAAAGATGGCATTTCTATAGATCTATAGACCCATTTCTGACCTCCCCTTCCTCTCTAAAATTCTGGAGAAAGTAGTCGCCAAACAGTTGTGTGACTTTCTACATAGCAACAGCTTATTTGAGGATTTTCAGTCAGGATTTAGAGTTCATCACAGCACAGAGAAAGTTAATAATGACCTTTTAATTGCTTCTGACAATGGATTTGTATTGTTAGATCTTAGTGCTGCATTTGACACCATTGACCATCATATCCTATTACAGAGACTTGAGCATCTAATTGGCATTAAAGGAACCGCACTAAGCTGGTTTAAATCCTATTTATCAGATCTTTCTCAGTTTGTACATGTTAATGATGAATCCTCCATAAACACTAAAGTTAGTCGTGGAGTTCCACAAGGTTCTGTGCTTGGACCAGTTCTAATCACCTTTTATATGCTTCCCTTAGGTAACATTAGGAATCACTCCATTAACTTTCACTGTTATGCAGATGATACCCAGTTATATCTATCAATCAAGCCCGATGAAATTAATCAGTTATCTAAATTACAAGCATGTCTTGAAGACATAAAAACCTGGATGAGCTGCATTTTTCTGATGCTAAACTCAGAAATAACTGAAGTTCTTCTACCTGGCCACAAACACCTCAGAGACTCACTGTCTAAGGATATAGTTACTCTAGATGGTATTACCTTGGTCTCCAGCACCACTGTCAGAAATCTTGGAGTTATCTTCCCACATAAAGCAAACCTCTAGGACTTCTTTTTTGCAAATCAGACACATCCTGTCACAGACGGATACAGAAAAACTAGTCCATGTATTTGTTACTTCCAGGCTATATTACTGCAACTCCTTATTATCAGGCTGCCCAAATAAGTCCATTAAGATGCCCCAATTAATTCAGAATGTTGCAGCATGAGTACTGACAGGAACTAGGAAAAGAAATCATATCTCTCCTGTATTAGCTTCTGTACATTGGCTCCCTGTAAAATTCAGAATATAATTTAAAATCCTCCTCCTCACCTACAAAGCTCTTCATGGTCAGGCCCCTTCATATTTTAAAGAGCTCATAGTACCCTATTACCCCACTAGAACACTGCGCTCTCTGAATGCAGGGCTACTTGTGGTTCCTATAGTCTCTTAAAGTAGAACTGGAGCCAGAGCCTTTGGCTACCCAGCTCCTCTCCTGTGGAACCATCTTCCAGTTTTGGTTCGGGAGGCAGACACCCTCTCCACATTTAAGAGTAGGCTTACGGCAGACGGCCACCCACCTAGAGCCGGGGTCTGTCAGAGGTTTCTGCCTCTTAAAAGAACGTTTTTCCTTGCCACCGTCACCAAGTGTCTGCTCATGGTGGGAACTGTTGGGTCTCTGTAAAAAAAATTGTAAGGAGTACGGTCCTACTGCTGTATTTGAAAAGTATCCTGAGATAACTTCTGTTATGGATTGGCGCTATACAAATAAAAATGTAATTGAATTGAATTTTATTTGCTGTAAGATTAGGCCCCTGTTAATTCTTCTGATCTGACTAAATGGAATTCTGATGATTAATATTATTTGATGAAGTAAACAGAACCACTTCTTCTATTCTATTGTTAGTAATGTAGATCTGCTAAATGATCAGTCCCTCCATGAAGTTGCAATGTTGTGGTCACAACAATGAACACAAATTCAACCAATCCCTGTGAGTTCTACGCTACCTTGCAGTTTCGTCCAATCATGGAAACTTTTCCAGAAATTTGACCAATCACTGTAGTTTCCTGGGAGTTTCACCAATCATAACGGACCCATAACATTGAGCCACGTGTCAGCACACTATAGCATTTTTATTCTTACTGGATCAAGTTGTGTTTGATTTTAATGAATTAGGAAAATAAAAATAGTTTTGCAATTTTCACTTTCTCTTCCAAAACATTGCAACATACATTGCATTTTTTTTCTTTTGAAAAGCTCCCATGAAATCAGGCCACAAGTCCTCATACTTGAACAAAAAATATTATGTTTGACATTACATTGCCCTTAGAACAATGATATGACATAACCAGACCTGTAGGTCAGAGGTGAGTTAAGGCAACTGAAACTCCTCAGTAAAGGTTAGAGACAGAGTGCGGTCAGTGTTCAAAGGAACCAATGCTGACAGTATGCAAACTGCACTGTATGGTCCCATATTTGGGGGAAAAGATAAATGAATGTATCAAGAATGCCCATGGTGACTGCTGATGTTCAGTCGGTTCAGCAAACCAGGAAGTGTATCTCACAGCAAATCAAAAGATCCATCTTCATCAGCTGAAAACGATTAAGACTGATTTTATTTTCATGAGTTTGTTTCTTGATACATGCCACATAAATCTACGATAATCTAAATATTTCATATCCACTTTTATGTTAAAAGCCGTCCAAATTTGCCAATTATGGCTTTCCCCACAGTTTGGAATCACATTCAGCTTACCAAATCACTCTGGTTGATTCTTACTTAGATTCTATATTATCTGACTACAGCAGGTACTCTGGCAGCTAGCCACTTCTTGAGGAAACAGCTGGTTTATTGCAGACTGGCTTTTCCTTTCTACACCCCTCCTGGGACACACAGCTCTACCTCCTGCTCTCCACGCCGCACCTTGCTGCTGCTGCTGACATACACTTCTTTCTTTGCCCTAATTTCGCAGCTCTTTTGCCAGCAACAAGACCATCTGCCTTGCCTCTAAATTAGGAAGAGTATTTATCAAATGTCTTGTGATGGGAATACTGATCTGGGTTCTGCTTTGCCTTGCAAGTCGAGATAAATGACAAGGTCAAGGATATGGAGATATGCACTCTTTCCACATCAATATTCATTAACTAACTGGTGGGTTATGAAGTAGAAAATTAATTGTTTGTAAGAGTTTGCTGTCACAAGCGTCAGTATAATGAGACACGGTGCGGCGGGACGGTCTTTTCTGTCATCTGTAACTAGATATATTCATCTTTATTGGTGTGTTTGACTATATACATATGAATAAAAGTCATCTAACTCCTGTCTACTCCTCCTGTTCTATTTCA